TATGTACTAGGGCCATGAGCATGGTTTAAAAGGATAACTTACAAGGATCTTCAGCCTCAGTGCTGGATCCTCCCTGCCCATTATATTACTCTTCTCCCCAGGCACAAATTAGCTGAGAGAGTCTGGCGCCATCTAGCAGGGAAGACTGGCCCTGCTTCAACCTTTTATATACCCCTAATGGTAAAGGTAAAGGTTTCCCTTGCTCAAAAGCCAGTCGAATCCGACTCTAGAGGTCCGGTGCTCATCTCCGTTTCCAAGCTGAAGAGCCAGCGCTGTCCGAAGCTGTTTCCGTGGTCATGTGGCCGGCATGACTAAACACCGAGGTGCTCGGAACGCTGTTACCTTCCTGTCGAAGTGGTACCTATTTATCTACTTGCAATTTCTTGCTTTCGAACACGCGGCACTCGGGTCTCGAACTGCCGAGCTACTGACCTTCCAGCTTGCAGTTCAGTGTCTTAGCCACTTGAGCCACCGCAGCCCCTTAAAATACCCCTAACTCATCCCTATGTTTAATAGGCAAGGGCTAGCCGCTCTGTGGTATTGGCAGATCTCCGTGATGAGGCCAGCAGTGGCTAAGGTTTAGGGTTCTGCAAGTTAACTTGGTGTAATGTTAGTTGTGAAATCTGCATACATGCACCCCCCTCCTGAGAGTTTGGGTTAGAGATGTAAAATTTCCGGAAATTTTGAAGCTCGGAAAAAACCCCAGGTTTTTTTCCAGGTTTTTTCAGGAAAAAACGGAAATTTTCTGAAAAATTGAAAAAAATGCTACATTAGCCCTTCTTTTTTATTTTCAAGATTGAAAGTCATTCTGTTGCGTTAGGAACATAAAATATGACAATGGACATTTTTACTTGGCATGAAATTATCACAACTAGCATATTAAAAATATAGTGTATCCAAACAATTATTACAAACAGAATACCCACCCACATGCAAAAACAAAACTGAAACCTTTTCCTTTTCTCGTGACAATAGCACCTCCTAAAGGAAGAAATGCATCTTGTTCTTGCATTGGAGAGTTCAGTTTGTAACCTAGGACTTGTTTGTCCTCAGTGCACAGAAATTAGATCAATCTGATATATATATAAATGATTTGGAAAATATTTGAACACCTTGTCTTAAAATATTTCATTCATCGTGTTAAAATAAAACGTTCCATAATCAATTTCTTTTCTTTTTACAATTTTTCCAATTTTTCGGGAAAAAAACAAAAAAAGTCTTCAGGAAAAAAGCGGAGAAAACCCATTTTCCCCCTGAATTTTTCCATTTTTTCCCCGGGCCATCACATCTCTAGTTTGGGTAGCATTTTGGATTGCCATAGTGACCCAAAATGACCTCCAATGTCACAGCCGGGCCAATGGCCATCCCTGGGTGAGGGAGGGGAAGAGACCTGGAGCTGGTAAAGGCAGAGGGATGGTGGAGTCAAGCTGGCGGAGGGGAGGAGACTTCGAAGCCGGTGTTGAGGAAGGGAGGAAGCCCAAGCCAATGGTGGAGGGAGGTGAACTGGCAAGCCTGAACCACAGCTGGCAGGAAGGACGGATGGGGGGGAATTGGACTTCCCCTCACACTAGTTTTCGTGGTTCCCCTCGTGTATACATTCAGGCTGTCAAATGAGATTGTCCGGGGTCGGGTATCCTCAGCATGCAGATGACACACAGCCCTATAGTTCATTATCCAAGCCAGCAGATGCACCCGTCTGGGTTCTGAACTGGTGCTTTGCGGCTGTGGTCAAGGGCTAAGGCAGAGCAAGACGAAGCTGAATCCAGACAAGACAGAAGAAGGCTGAAGTTCTAGGAATTGGATTCAGTTGCCCTCGATGGAATTAATTTGGCTTTTGTACAGCAGGTTAAGATTTCAGGGTGTGCTCCCTTTGCTGTTTGAAAAACAGGCTGGCTTCTTGGCCAAGAGCACCTTCTCTCGGTTGCATTGGGTGCACCCCACCTCTTTCCTTTAGACTCAGCTGACCTGGCCGCTTTGAGCCATGCTTTTTAAAACCTCATGACTGGATTGCTGTAATGAGAGCCAGTTTGGTGTCGTGGTTAAGTGCGCTGACTCTAATCTGGGAGAACTGGGTTTGATTCCCCACTCCTCCACTTGCACCTGGCTGGATGACCTTGGGCAAGCCATAGTTCTGGCACAGCTGTTCTTGAAAAAAGAGCAATTTCTGTCAGGGCTCTCTCAGCCCCACCTACCTCACAGGGTGTCTGTTGTGGGGAGAGGGAGGGAACGGAGGTTGTCAGCCGCTCTGAGACTCCTTTGGGTGAAGGGCCATGGGGTATAAATCCCATCTCCTCTTCTACTTTGGGCTGTCTTTGAAGACAACCTGGAAACTGTGGCTGGTTCAGAATGTGGCAGCCTGATTATTGTCAAGGGCTAGCTGATGGGAACATCTGTTGCTCATTTTGAAACAGCTGCATGGGCTGCCAGTTGGTTTCTGAACTCAATTCAAGAAACTGGTTACGACCTTTAAAGCCCTTCTTGGCCTGCAGCCCAGATATCTAAAGGACTCTCTCCGTCCATATGGTTGTGTCTACTACAGTCTTCAGGCTGCCCCGATTGGTTGTTCCTTCACTTAGGTTGACCTACCTGGCATCCATCAGAGCCAGGCCTTTTCTACCATGGCCCCCACTCTGGAGAGGTGAGAGGAGCCCCTTTTTTGAAGTTCAGGAGGTGCTGTTGGTTTGCCCATGCTTTTGATAGAATATGAACAGCAGGCCTCTTTCGGGGGATGTTCTGAGTTCTTTATTCTACCTGTTTTTAATTTGAAGTGTTTTAATTATTACCTCTAAGCAGCCTTGAGGCAAGAGGAGAGGCAGGGTATAAATATTTTATAAAAATTAAAAACGAAAAACACACGTTGAAGTCAAGCGGTCAAGTAAACACGAACTCCTTTGTTTCTCTGACTTTAAATCGTACCAGGAATATCAGCAGAGAAAAACAGTATATCGTACGTCAAGGGCATTTTCATGCTTCATAATTTGGGCCAACACATGGATTCTCGCAGCTGGTGTTGTGTAATAGCAATAATCACGGAGCAACAGTTCAGCCGGATCATTGGCAGACGGCTGCATTTGATTTCGGTGAAACGGTAATGCACGTGGCCGCCATCAGATCACACCGTTGCCCTGGGCTGATTGCTCTTGTACACCACAGGAGCTACCTTTGCACTTGGCTGGTGGCAGTCTCCTGTTGCATCAGACTGAGTTACTTTCTGGGAAATCGAGGCACAGCCATCATTATAGAGACAGCATAGCCAGGTCTAGGATCCACCAGTTTCCTGTAATTCCTTATTCAGGGGACAACCACAGTGCTTATCTCAGCATGAGGTGTACATTAGAAGCAAGCCAGGAGGAAAATGAGAGAAGCTAAATGGAAGGAGTGTGTGGATACTGCTAATGTGAAATAGTTCACTGAAGTAACTGAGGAAAATGGGATCTGGAGTAAGGAAAGAGATGTATAAATGTACCCACATTTAGAACCCCTCTGTTGGGCTTTGGTTTAAGTCAAGTTTGCAATGAAATCCACACAAGTTCCTAGCCCACAATCTTTTTTTAAACTAGCTGGCTTTCTCGTTCATGCATGTTGCTTGTGAAACCCTGACTAGAAAGGGGGAAGAACCAGCCCACCACATTTTGCAAAAGTGTCTCTGCCAGGAAGTGATTCTCACTTGCCTTGGATGGCAAGGCAAGTAGCTGTGTACACCAGGGGTCATTTCCTGCAGGAGCGCACAGGAGCGGAGCTCCGACAGTAAAGAGCCCAGGGGGCGGGCACATGCAACAAGCCCCACCCCCTGCTCCCAGCAACCCTCAGTCAGAACAAGAAGCAGCAAGGTAAGCTGCAGAGCCCCCCCCCGGCCCCCAAGTCCAAAACAGCCCATTGGCACCTTTAAGACCAAGTTTTATTCAGGTCCAAGCTCTCCCTCCTCTGCGAGGACAGATCTGCACGTCCCCCCTCCCCCAATAGCTAGCAATCCAAAACAGTCCAGTGGAGCGGTGGGTGTTGCCTTCTGACACACTTCCAGTGATGACAGGGGGTGTGGCACATGCAAATGAGTTTATGCTAATGAGTTATGCTAATGAGCTCCTGCACCTCTTTACCTACTAAATGACCGTTGGTGCACACCAAGCCCTGAAGCGGGGCTGGCTAACTGCGGGCTCAGGGGCCAGATCTGGTCCCCCCAATTGATGTTATTTGCCCTGCCGCAACCAGGCTTATTGAAAAGTGTAGTAAATGGCTTGCTCGCCATTTCAGTCATAAGGAGAAGGAAATTGTTTGAGAGGGGGGGCACACTTTAACACGATCTCCCCCTTGGGCTTTGTATATAATGCCCCATAACTGTGAAACCCTGATGGCCGACTTTATGAGAGAGGCAGACCAGCTACAGAGTTGCCAGACTTTTTACTGGCCCTGCATCTGTGTTTTTTACAGCAGAAATTAAGCAGATGAAGCTTTTGCTCTCTGCTCATCTCCCTGCAGCAAGGATCTTCACTTGCTAAGTGTTTGCATCTCGTGCTGCTGGTAGATGCGCAGAGAGAAGGCAGAGTTTGAAAAACCCTGGTATCTCTACCTGTACAGAAGCCAGATTGTGATGCAAAAGATACCTTTCCTCCAGGCCACTGTCTGGACTCCAGAGATCAGAGCAGCCACCAGGAATACCGATGTTGGCCAGCTCTGCTTTAAAGGAGTAGGACCTATGTATTGGATGCAAATAAAACGGAAGTACAAATCCCCCACTTTTTAAGAGGGTCCCCAAATTAGTTGCGCATTCAACCCAAGTGCCTCTTTTAAGGTCAGCTCTTAAAAATAATTATTCATGTTGTTTGTAAGTAATACTCTCAGCCATTAAAATTCAAGGCTTGTAACCACCAGTCTTGATTCATTTCCTTGTGTCTGGTCGGTCTAGTTAATGTTGTGCTATTGTATTGATAAAAAGGTCCTGCGGTACCTAGGGCAAATGTCTGGAAATAAAGATTTCTCATCTCTCTCTCTCTTTTTTTTAGGCCTTGGAATAAGCAAGCCAAGAAACCTCTTGCTGTGCACCACAGCAACATTAGTCATGCTTTTGCAAGTACTTAGGTACATACCCAGCTTTCCTACCATACTTTATGGGATGAGGAGGTGTAAAGCATAACCTTCTCCCACATCCTGGAGATACAACTGAATGTAAATGGTGTGAGTCTTCCCCCTGCCCTGATCTTAAGTGACTAGTCTGATTTATCCCAGCAAAATTTATTTCCAAGTGTGTTCGGTGTAGAACTGTTAGTATAATAAAACAGCAGCACACTACATTTATAGGCTGCTCTTGTCCACTGTGGCAGTATGAGTGGAATATGATGCTGACCAGGGCTTTTTTTGGTAGAAAAAGCGCAGCAGGAACTCATTAGCGTAATAGGCCACACCCAACAGCAGAAACTCATTAGCATATTAGGCCACACCCATGGCTGCGGGGAGGCATTTAAATGCCTCCCCAATCCTTCCAGCCCCTCCCCCTCCCGGCCTGCCCGCCTTGGAGTTGTGGGGTGTGTGTGTTGCTTTCCAGGCCTTCCCTCTGTAGCCAGGCACGCAGAGGTTTGGGCTGTAGTGGGCGTGGCCAACTCTGAAGCCAGCCGGAACTCCGTTCCTGTGCGTCCCTGCCCCAAAAATTGCCCTGCTGCTGACTAAAATCCTTAGCATTGTCACAAGGCCATAGTGGTTTCTTTGTACCCATGCATCCAGGTGGCACTGATATTGCTAAAGCTGCCAATAGGCCTGGAGAAAAATAACTTGTCACTTTAACGGAGGTCCAGTGTGTAGAGATGGGCAGCTAAAGCTTATCACAGCACAGGGGCAAATAACATCCCATTAAGTCCCTGTGGAAGGGGCAGGACACTTTTCTCCAGGCATTCGGCAACCACTTGCCCAACAAATGGAGAACTTGTACCCGCACCGGTATAGCTGAATGATCACAGCGGAACTGTTGGGAAGCTTACACAGAATTTAAGGTCGGGTAGTGCAGGGTGTGGAAATGACAGTGTTAACGGATACCCTCTCCCTGACATCAGGGACCCATAAAATGCTATGCTCGAAAGCCATGTAAGCCCCACTCGCCCCAATATTTGCATCCAAATTAATCTGAACCGGAGGGTGTAAGACAGTTCAGGGCTCTTTTTGTAGCAGAAACTCCTTTGCATATTAGGCGACGCATCCCGAATGTGGCCAATCCTCCAAGAGCTTACAGAGCTCTTCTTACAGGGGCTACTGTGAGCTCTTGGAGGATTGGCTACATTTGGGGTGTGTCGCCTGATATGCAAAGGAGTTCCTGCTACAAAAAGAGCCCTGAGAGGAGTAGGGGAGACAGATTCAGGTGGGCAGCCGTGTTGTTCTGAAGCAGCAGGACAAAGTTTGAGTCCAGTGGCATCGTTTAGATCAACAAAGTTTTATACAGAGTATAAACTTTCGTGTGCAAAGCACTCTTCTTCAGGGGAGAAATGGGTATAACATCTGTGGAACCTGGGGAAACCAGTTACAGCCTCTCCGTGCTTGCCACCTGAATAAAACTTGGTCTTAAAGGTGCCTCTGGACTGTTTTGGATGGGGGGGGGGGCTCTGCAACTTACCTGGCTGCTTCTTGCTCTGACTGAGGGCTGCTGGGAGCAGGGGGTGGGCCTTGTTGCATGGGCTCTTTACTGCCGGAGCTCCGCTCCTGTGCGCACCTGCAGGAAATGACCCCTGGAAACGTTCATTGTTGGGATACTGTGTATTCCATCCATCGGCACTCATTCCTTGCAGGGACCAATTGCTGATGGGCGTGTGAGGACCAAGGCCACAAGATCCCCTTGGAAGGGATACTCTGCACAAGCATCCATGCATGGATCCTCAAGTGACAATATAAGGGACATATCCAGGTGAGTGCTCACTCGCAAAAGCAAAGAGGGATCTTGGACTGGGGCATGTGGGGAGAAAAACACCCACATGCTTCCCTCATTGTTCGTTTTTCCTTGTCTTGCTGTAGGTGGCCAGAGCTGAGGATGGCGATGTTTGAGGAGACATGCTGCACCTGCATCCTGTTAGAACCTATGAAGAGCCCAACTATGAATCTGGTCATCTAGACCAGCCTCTTGATTCCAGATGTGGCCAGCCAGATGCTTCTGGAAAGCCTGCATGCAAGGCATGAAGCTAGGGGGTTGCTGCGTACCATACTGTGATCATGCCTCAACCTCTGGCAGTATTCAATTGGTTCTGAATGCAGGATCTGCACATTCCCATCACTGATGTGTTTCCTATCGGCTCACAGTGGGCCTGCACTTGTGGATGTCACAAGTTGTCAAAACCCAGGGCCTTTTTTTTGTAGTAGGGACTCCTTTGCATGTTAGGCCACACACCCCTACTGTAGCCAATCCTAATGAGTTCCTGCTGTTGGGTGTGGCCTATTATGCTAATAAGTTCCTGCTGGGTGTGGCCAACTCAGGAGCCAGCCGGAACTCCGTTCCTGTGCGTTCCTGCCCAAAAATAGCCCTGGGGCTGCACACTCTCCTTCATAGATATGGCTGATAGGCTATCCCAGAAAACTTTGCAGTCGTACTCCTGCATTATTAACGAATCTATTGTAGCAGAAGTTTTTGTGGGGGCTAGAGCCTGTTTCATCAGATGCATTAAGTGAATCCATATCCAGCAGGTATATTTACACTTTCATGCATAGATAGAAAAGCGGATGCCACAGTCAGTCTGTGAGTCATTAAGGTGCCAGAAGACTAATATTTCTCGCTGGTATGTTGGCAGTTTGAGCTGTTTCTTTCAGCCCTGCTTCCTGGAATTGCTTAACTAGAAGCTGCCAGAGCTTGAACATGTGACCATAGGCGTGCAAAGCCTATCTTGCTGACTTTTTTTCCTATTAATTTTAAATCCCGAGAAGGAATCAAATCTTACTATTTGTTCTATAACATGTTGAAGGCCCCAGTCACACGGGCCGGATAATGCGGGGGGGGGGGGCTTTTTGCACCACCGCAGTTAGAGCTGCCATAATGCGATCCCACGCGGTGGCGGCACGCTACGTTTCCTTCCCTCCGCACCTGCGCATCAACGAGGGGCCGGAGGGAAAAGCTGCGGCCGGAGCGATCACACCGAGGGACTCCGAAGGCAGCCTGCGGCAAACCGGTTGCTAGTACCTCCAAGCAGGTAGTTTTTAATCCCGCATTTTTGGCGGTAGGCCACGGGTTTGCCACGGGTGCGCTCCACTTCTCAGATGTTGCGGTGTGATCGCGCCCGGATAATCCGCCATGCACTTGTTGCTCTCTCGCAGCAAATCCTCCGTGTGAATGGGGCTGAAGTGGGGTAAGTGGATTGGAGATTTTCAAAACAACATTGTCAGCATAACTTTTTAGTTGGAATTTGTCTCCATCTACTTTCAATCCTCCAATTTGGGGATCTTATCTTATTTTGGCTGCAAAAATTTCCATTGCAAGAATAAATAATAATGATGATAGTAAACACCCTTGTCTAGCCCCCTTTTCAGTTTAAAATTCGTCTGTTAATACTTAATTATTTAAAAATTTGGCATTTTGTATTGCGTAAATTCCTTGTATCCAGTTTTTGAATTTAGGTCCACAATTAAGACATTGTAAAACTTTTTGTAAAAAAGTCCAGGAGAAATTGTCAAATGTGTTTTCAGCATCTAAAAAGATAAAAGCTACTTTTTGTCTTTTTTTCTCCATAAGTTCCATTACATCAATTACAAATTGAACATTGCCTTTCATAAACCTCTTTGGTACGAAGCCTTTCTGTTTGGAGTAAATTATTTTTGCTAGGCATCTTCTTAATATTTCTGTGATTATCAAAGTAATAAATTGTAATCCACGTTTAACAAGGAAATCAGTCTGTAATACTGAGGTAACACTGGATAATTACCCTCTTTGTAAATCAATGTTATATGTGCCTCCTGCCAGGTCTGGGGTAATATCTTGCCTTCACTTATTTTGTTCATCACCTTTTGGAGTGGCAATATTAACTCTTCTTCCAAGCATTTGTAATCCATTGCCAATAACCCATCTGGGCCTGGTACTTTATCTTTCTTCAATTTTTTTATAGCTTGTGAAATGTCTTGTACTGTGATATTTTGGTTCAAAATATCTTTATCTTCTGATGTAAAATTTGGAATTGATGCATCTTTAATATATTCTTCGTCCTTCTTCTGTTAAATTTTCTTGCTTATAAAGTTGTGAAAAGAAAGAAACTGCTCATGTATTTCTTTTCCATATGAGTAATTCCGTTTAGCAATTTCGCTCCTATTATTGTTTTTCTTTCAGATTTTTTTTTCTTAAGCAATGAGCTAAAAATCATCCAGGTTTGTTCGCATATTCAAAGCATTTTTGCTTCAGGAAGCTTAGCTTTTTCTGCATTTCTTCAGTTTGCAGCATATTGGTTTTTTAACTGCTTAATTTCGATTAGGGTGTCAAACCTCGCTCTGCTCAGTTTGCCATAGATGCGGGGGGGGGGAGGAGAATTCCTTAGGTGGGGTGTGTGAGTGTGGAGTGTGTGACTGCACTATCTTAGAAGCATAACTCTTCTGAAGAAGCATTCCTCTAATTCCCAGAGGAATATCCTTGAGACTTTCGGTGCCAGCTTGCTTTTCTAGATAATGGGATCATATATTCCCAGGTGAAGGGGCATAGAGATGCTGGGGGTAGGCAGAGTGGATGTGACGTATGAGTGGGCCTTAGGAGGGGTTACATTTGAATTACCGATATCTTTGATTGTACCCGCCAAAATCTTCAGGTCTGACACAGTACTGTCATGTGACCTGGACCTTGCTTATAACTCAATAAACATATCATTGCCAAAGAAAGTGTTGTTGAGAATAAGTTGCCCAGGAGTCTGACATAGGGTCAACTTCTTGAGAGATGTTTTTGTACTGTCTTTCCAGAATTTGATTTCCCCCTGTTATTTTTGTTACTCTGATTTCTCCTTTTTTTAAAAAAGAGATAACTATCAGAGTTCTTCCCATGAAAGCTTTGCTTGCTTCCAAAATTGTTGCAATGGATACCTCATCTATAATGAAAAAGACGACCGTATTTTAAATTTTTAGTGTGTTTTAACTTGTAACGGCCAATGGCCACATACAATAAACTTGACTGACTGACTGACTCATCTATAAGACTCAGTTTAAAAAATCCTTCTAAATCTTTTTTACACTTCTTTAATATGTCTTCTTGTAGTAGCAGATTATCATTCAGTCTCCATCTTCTCCTTTAATTGGATTTTCTTGCCAAACCATCAGTAAAGGGTTATGGTCTGCAAAGATTTCCGGTTGTATTTCAGCCTTCTTTAAATTTATAAGTAATGTTTTGGATATCCAGCACATATCAACCCTAGAATATGTTTGATGTCTGTCAGAGAAGAATCATAGAATGTTGGAGTTGGAAGGGACCTTGCAGGTCATCTAGTCCAACCCCCTGCAATCTGCAGAAGCATAGCCGAAAGATAGCCCTACAACATACCTGAAAGATGGTCGTCCAGCCTCTGCTTGAAAATGTCCAGCGAAGGAGCATCCACCACCTCCTAAGGCAGACTGTTCCACTGCTCAACCACTCTTACAGTTAGGAAGTTTCTCCTGAGATTTAGCTGGTAACGACTCCTTTGTAATTTCCACCCATTAGATCTAGTCTTGCAATCCAGAGCAAGAGAGAATAGATTTGCTCCATCTTCTACATGACAACTCTTCCAATACTTGAAGACTGCAATCATGTCCTCTCTAAGCCTTCTCTTTCCCAGGCTAAACATACCCAACTTTTCCAGCCTTTCCTCATGAGACTTGGATTCCAACCCTCTCACTATCCTGGTTGCCCTCTTCTAGACACGCTCGAGCTTCTCAACATCCTTCCTAAAATGAGGTGCCCAAAACTGGACACAGGACTCCAGGTGAGGCCTGACCATAGCAGAATAGAGCGGAACGACCACCTCCCGTGATCTGGACACAATGCTTCTGTTAAGGCATCCTAAGATTGCATTAGCTTTCTTCGCAGCCACATCACACTGCAGGCTCATGTTTAGCTTGTGATCAACCAGAACACCTAGATCCCTTCCACATGTGCTGCTGTCAAGCCAAGTCCCTCCCATTCTGTATCTATGCCTTTGATTTTTTGTACCTAAGTGTAGGACTTTGCACCCTCACAGGGTTGTTGAATGGATAAAATGAAGGGCAGGTACGTTGTTTTGAGCTGCTGCTTGCCAGGAGTGTAGGATAAAACTATACCAAAAAAAGAGAGGTTACTCTGCCCCACCAGGCATCAATAGAGCAGATAGCCTTTGAGCCCGGCTGCCAGGAATTATTCCAAAAGACACGTTGACAACCCTGACTGACTTTCTTTATCACATCTGTAGCCCTCCCTTAATCCAAAGAACTCAGGGTGCTTCACATAACATCTCTCCCCCCCCCGATTTTGTCTTCACAACTAAGCCTGATAGTCCCAAAGTCCTCCAGTCATCTTCAAGGCTTATGGGATTAGAGCTCTGACCACCTAGGTCAAAGTGCAGCACCGTAACAACCACACCACACTGACTTGTGGTCAATGTTCCCTCTAAGCCGTGAAGTCTTGTGAGCAAAAATTCCACTCTGTGAGCTACTGGCATTAAAGTTGTGAGCCAGCGATTTGGCCACTACATAAATTAGTTTGCTCTGGAGCCCTCCGTCCTGAGCTAAGACAGAAATGTGTGAGCCAGAGGCTAAAAAACTGTGAGCTAACTCACAACAACTCAGCTTAGAGGGAACACTGCTTGTAGCACTGGGATGCTTAGTCTTCAGGGGAAGAGCTGTAAGAGTCCTAAACGAGCAATAGCTTGGATCATCAGGTAAAGAAGGATCTGGCAAGAGAGAATTTCAGTATGGGCAGCTTGTCTGTAACTTTGATATTCCTTACCAATCTTCAATCCACATACCTAGTTGACTTAAACACAATGTATCAGAACTCACTTCTGTAGCCTCTGGATTATAACCTATGTGGGAAATTGTATATGAAACAGAATCATAATATGTACTAATAAAACATTCCTAGAACCTTCTTCTGGGGCCACATTCTGCCATAGTTTTGTTCAGGGGTCATTTCCTGTGGGAGCGCACAGGAGTGGAGCTCCGGCAGTAAGGAGCCCAGGGGGCAGGCACATGCACCAAGTCCCACCCCCTGCTCCCAGCAGCCCTCAGTCAGGCCACGAGGAGCAAGAAGCAGCCAGGTAAGTTGCAGAGACCCCCCGGTCCGCCTTCAGGTACAAGCTCTCCCTCCTCTGTGAGGGCAGATCTGCACGTTCCTCCCGCCCAAATAGCTAGCAATCCAAAACAGTCCAGTTGAGCCTGAGTGGTGGGTGTTGCCTTCTGACACACTTCCGGTGA